GCGATCAAAACAAGAGTCTCAAATATGTGAGCAAATAAGCTCAGAACTAGTCACAAACGTTGGAAGCTTTTGACGAGAAAAATACATTTATATTTTTGTTCAATTTTAGACAAAGAATGTTATGACCAGAAAAATGGCGTCTACAATGGTTTCGTTACATGCACGGAGACAGGGATCCCTTGTCAGCGTTGGGACAGCAATACCCCACACAGTCATGATCTCCATTTTGGAGACATATATCCTGAAAATAGGTGTGTGTCTGAGAATGGAGGAAAGCCTTGGTGCTACACTGCGGATCCAAGTGTTAGGTGGGATTTTTGTCCGGTAGACCCGTGCGTCTGACGTAAGATCATTTATGACTCTGAACGTGTGTGTGGTGTCTAGTGTTCTATCCATGTGTCTGGAGTCTAGTGTGTTGTCCATGTGCCTGGTGTCTAGTGCTCTGTCCGTGTGTCTGGAGTCCATTAATTGTTGTCCCTGATTATTGTCCATTAATTGTTGTTGTCCCTGATTATTGTCCATTAATTGTTGTCCCTGATTATTGTCCATTAATTGTTGTCCCTGATTATTGTCCATTAATTGTTGTTGTCCCTGATTATTGTCCATTAATTGTTGTTGTCCCTGATTATTGTCCATTAATTGTTGTTTCTGATTATTGTCCATTAATTGTTGTTTCTGATTATTGTCCATTAATTGTTGTCCCTGATTATTGTCCATTAATTGTTGTTTCTGATTATTGTCCATTAATTGTTGTTTCTGATTATTGTCCATTAATTGTTGTCCCTGATTATTGTCCATTAATTGTTGTTTCTGATTATTGTCCATTAATTGTTGTTGTCCCTGATTATTGTTCATTAATTGTTATTGTTCTTGATTTACTTTTCTGTATTATCATTATCTCTATTGTAGGTTACAATATGTCGTCCATGCGTTTTAAAGTCAAGAAAAAATCGGCGGAGAAAGTTAATTAGTACTTACTTATTAGTAATTACCGGTACTGACCGCCTTATATAAATTTTTAACGCTGTTTAGATTTCGGATATTATTTTCCTCCATCATTTATGTTTCCATATACTTCGTTGAAAAAAGAATTAAAAAGAAACGCACATTTAAACTGTACAATCAATAGCCTATGATTTTTTTGGAAATTTGTACAAAATTTTATATCAATGCAAAAGCCAAGTCTACTCTTTGAAATCCTGTAGAGGGAAAATCTGTGTGGCGTCATTCGTTTCGTCAGTAGTTACTTAAAGTGGGACACCCGCGAAAAACAAATTGACACTTCAGTACCTGGTGTTGGCACCTCTTGCACGAATCCCTGCACAGATTATCCTATGCAATGAATTCATGACAAAATTAATTCATCTTAAGGTAATGTTGTTCCGTTCTTGCGTTAATGCAACGATTAACAGGGCGCGGTTAGTTGGGGTGGGTGGGTGTTACGTTTCCTGATACGTCTGTCCAGCTCATCACACAGATGCTCGATAAGAGACATGTCAGGCTATATGAGGGCCATTCCAGAGGCTGAAAGTTGTTTGCCGTGAGAACATGCGGTCGAGCATTGTCTTGCTGGAAAATTAGGTAATGACGTCCGAGACGTGGAAGGACATGTGGTTGGAGGATATGGTCTCTATATCGAACGGCAGTAATTGGTTTAATGAGTTCGTGTTGTTGTTAACAAAGGTTTATCGACTTGGCCATGTACTTGTCACTGGTTTGCTGTTTCGATGTGTTATTTAGGGTAGGTTTTTACAACTCTCGTAATAACTGAAGAAATTCTTGAATCTCTAACGGGTAAATTGTAAAATCCGGGAATAAGCAGTGCATGATGTAATTGATGTATTGTAATCTTCCCATTAACTTATGTGTTGTAATGTTGGTACTTACATACTTAAATGTTTATCTAATATTGTTGAGATGAACAATGAAAACTTTGCATAATTTTCTGTACAAAAAAATATCATTGTTCCGAATTATCTTGCTTCAATCAATTTGTAGAGGTTACACAAAGAGTGGCTGTGTATATATAGTTTTTTTCATTAAATAACGTTAGAAATTGTTTAAAAGTAAAAAAAGTTAACTTTTGGAAAATAACAAACGAAAATTATAGAAACACAATATATAACAACCAAGAGTTTGTGTGACCTGTTTCTATAACATTTAAAAAACTCTTCAGAAGTTGAATTCGCCTGTTTGTAAACAGCTGTTTTGTTTACGTCTTTTAGAAAAATGTCGCTAATTGATATACAAGACAGACAAATTCAGAAAAGATGGGATATCGTAACTCATAATTTTAAGTAAAAAGAAAAATTCAATGAAAGAAAAAAAGCAAAGAACTCAAAAAAAGAAATCCATGTTTACAACAAAAACTACTTATTACGTGATTTCTTATTTGCGTGATTGCGTAAATCGGCCTTTCGGTCAAAGGTCAGCCAATCAGAACTCGTTAAAGTGTTATACCACATGTGGTATAAAATGTATATTTATACATCAAAGGGTTATTTGATATCTCAGGGATAACTTAAAGCGGAACTTGATACATGAAACAGTATATCAAGTGATATAAATCAACTGTTTATGCCGATGGTGAAATATTTTTACTTAATGGATAATTATTTATTTCTGATGTAACGGCCATTGATAAATAAAGTCGGTTTCGCTAGGTAGGTGCGAGTTTTTATATATAAAGGTAGGCCTTCTTATATTAAGATTAACATTCTGTCTTTATTCTGGGACGATGTTTCATCTCCTGTTTTGTAAATATTATTTTTATAATACACGTGAATTATTCTTGGCAGTTTTTTATATAGCAAAGCAGGGCTACTGATTAATCTCTTTTTACGGAAAACGGACCAAAATTTGTTTTCTTAACTATCGCTACTTTGCATACTTCCGGTGGTATTGTTAACACCGGTATTGCACGCTATGGCTGTCGGTCGCAGCTAATTGACCATTTTGTATTATTTATGTATTTGCATATACTTCAACTCTTTTAACGTCAACTTGAGAAAGTCAGGGGGGAATAGTAATTCTATTGAGTAATAATAATGGGACCGATATGTAGGAAAGACTTAGCAAAGTTTGTACAGCTGAAAAAAGATTCACACTTAATATATACATTTAATATATAAGGTCATTATAAAATTTGGGTTCCTGTTTCCCAGTAAGGACTACTGTTTATTCATGTTTATTCATGGTGCCTAAATATCGTTATATTTCACGAAACTACAAACTTGTCGGCTCTTGATTTAGTGGATTAAAAATATATACAAAATTACCAGAATATTTAACGTGTGTATATGCTTTAGAACAATTTACGTTTTCATGGACAGGATAATTCGAGGATAAAGAGAATCAAAATCAAGGGAGATAATTCCCCCATGAACATCACTGATACTGCAGTATGTTTAAGATGTCAATGTAATCTTTAACTGATGGAACAACTTGACACGATGAGTGTGACATGTATATATATATAATTCTAATCCTCCAAATATGATAATTCTGATTTTGAAATTGTGTATATTAATCTTCTTTTTTCAAACCAACACGTGTTATTTGTATTTACTACAGTGGACCAGTGACAATTTTGTAATTCAATTTCTATCAATAAGTAACTACATAATAAACACCTGCTTTATATACTTTGTTTGTTTTGTTGTATATGTTTACAATTCAATGAACCGGGAAAATACGTTTTATTAGTGAATTAATTCAGTCTTTCGTCTTCTCATTGCTTATCAATGGTAAAATGCAAGGTTCATGACTATTTCACAAGAACCACAAAAACGTGTTTTCATGAGAGACTTTCTATAACGTTTGTTTAAAGACAGTTTGTGTTTGAAATGTTACTATTAATGAATTTATTGTTAAATGTCTGGAAAATGAAATTAAAATACATATAAAAAAAATGCATTCGTTCTTCGTAACAGTGTTTATTGGATTGTAAAACTGCGTCACAGAATAAAATTGAAACGATCGCCTACATTTTCACAAAAGCACAGCAGTGTACAAAGCGTACAAAGAAAATTTTCTATTTGAGTATACAACTTCATAAATGACATAAATACTATAAACTCTCTTTTATTTCACAACTTTTGTGAAATAAACTAATAGGGTCGTATCCACTTTTTGATATGATAAGGGCAAAACATTGTTACTAAAAGGATAATTAAATTGCGTTTACTTATATTTACCTGCAACTGTGGTTACCTGTTCTATACAGGTATGCTGGACAGTATGTATATTTACCTGTAACTGTGGTTACCTGTTCTATATAGGTATGCTGGACAGTATGTATTTTTACCTGTGTTTTACTGTGGTTACCTTTTCTATATAGGTATGCTGGACAGTATGTATATTTACCTGTAACTGTGGTTACCTGTTCGGTTTATTACTGTTATGCCCATCTTTTAAAAATAATGGGAAAAGGTGAGTGGGCATACCTGTAATTGTTTATATAGCAGGGTCATTAGAGAACAATAGAAAATTAGGTATAGCCTATTCCTAAAATGTTTCTTACCTGGAATATTTACTTGTAATATTTCAGGTGAATTTTATTTATAAATATTAAGATCTTTAATTAAATATCATATTCAACATGGTTATTACGACATAATTCCTGATAATAAATAAATACTAATATTATTTACTAATAATTAATATTAAACCAATATTTACTAAACAATGCAAAATGTAATTTTTTAAATTAATTTTTCAAAAGTTGTTTTCTTTATTCTTTTTTCACACAATGTATTCCTAATGTTCTATACCAAATGTAGCAGGTATGAAGCTGCGTCACCATAGTGGATATCATCGATTTCCCCGTCTCTGAATCTGGTCTTTAGCAACTGCAGCTGGGCTTCCACATCTCTGTAGCGTTTCGCCTTTGGTTGGGTGACTCCTCCAGCTGCAAGTTGTATGTGACGAATTTCATTTGCTGCTTGAATTCCTTGCAGTGCTGATATCAGGGTATAGATGTTGGGATGAGCATGCTTAATCTATTTCTTTAGCTTGCTATTCCACCCTTTGAGATGGTTGGTGGTGCGAGGTCCCTCGGTTGTGTAGTGGTTCCATGTGTTGATATCTCCTCCTTCTACCCACTGGGTGGTCACATAATCACAGAATGGTGTAGTATTTACTGGCAGAACTGAATCCTCTAGGTCTTCCAAGGCATTGAACCACACATCCTCAACACGTTCAGGGGGAATAATTGGAAGCACAGCTGCTCGGCGCAGAAGTCGATGAACATCTTCATTTTCACCATAGGATACCTGTAATCCGTATTGTTGTGCCTTCCTCCAAATGCACTGAGTATAATGAAAAAAACACCATTTCACTGTAGTTCCTGGATAGACGGTCCTGATGTCATTTTGGGCTGCGGCCTCGAAGTCCAGAAAGACGGTAGCTGGGTTAAACGGAAGCAGCAGATCGTCCATGGTATCGCTAATTTTCCGGAAGAAGTTAGTGTAGATAAGTTGGCTCTTTCCTGGTAACAAAACAAATATCAACGGGTACATGACTCCGTCTTCCATAGCATGTATTGTGTATAACTGGGTAAACAGTCCAGGGCACGTGTAAAATGTTCCATCACAAAACACAGCATCGGCATTTGATAACATCCTGAGGTTCTCAGTGGTGGCAAACGCTATCATCCGTTGTTCTTCTCCTTCATCAAATAAAAGAAACTGTTCACCAACCGATGTTTCCCTCCATTTTCCTTCTAGTAGAATTTCCTGACGAGTCTTGGGAAGATTCGGTAATAGCTGTGTCCTTGCATTGTATAGATTCAGATTCTTCATTAGCCAGGAGCCTTACGGCTCATAGGTACAAAAGTAATACATTTACATATAAATATATAATAATACATAATACATGCACGTAGCTTACGCTCACACACACCACCTCACACACCATCCCTCACACACACACCACCTCACACCCTCACACACACACCACCTCACACACCATCCCTCACACACACACCACCTCACACACCATCCCTCACACACACACCACCTCACACCCTCACACACACACACACGCTGACATATCAGGAGAGCTATAGCTGTATACATGATCCTGGCAAAAAGAGTTGGCATTATTAGAGATTTTCACGTTTTTGGTAGCATAAAACAAATATTTTCCAAAATTACAAAGTTCCTTTACATTGTTTACACTCAAAAGTTTGATTAATTTGAAAACACTTGGACGTCTGTGGTAAAACCTTTTTATATATTTTCTCCTTAATTCCTCATAAAATGGGCATTTTAAAATAAAATGGAATTCATCTTCAATATCTTCTCCATTACATCTGATGCACACTCTATTTCTTCTTCCAATATTTCTACGACGCCCAGTTTCTATATTAAGATTATGTGCAGATAGTCTAAACTCTGTAATTAAACGTGTGTATTTCGTTTCAATTGGCTTACATAAATAATATTGCAAATTAAAGTTATCAGTAAGATATTGGTACAAATATCCTTTAGAAGAGTCTTTAATTCTACTTAAAATTTCTTGTTTATTTACATCTAATAACCTCTGTTTTATTCTATTATACGCAGCACTAGCAGGAAGATCATTTTCAAATAAATACTCAAGACCTAATATTGACAACTCTTGTTTTATATTACTCATCCATACATCATTTTTACTCACACATTCGTCATAACATGCTTTCAAGATGCAATTATCGGAACTCTTTATTTTCAAACAATATTTAAAAATTCTGAATTTTCTAGTTACTAATAAAGGTAATCTCCCTAGTTCATTATAAACTAAATCATTGTTTGTACATTTTCTTACTCCTAGAATTTTCTTACAGAATGTCAAAGGTACTTTTTCTATATCATAAGCCTTATGGAAACCCCATATTTCTGCTCCGTAACAAATAATACTACTAATATATGTATCAAAAACAGAAGATAACGTTTCTGGATTTAAAGAGTAATCTCGTAATGAGGTCATTAATGAATACAATGCTTTTCTACCTTGTTCTGCTATATGTTTCTGAGTATAGCTGTCCCTTGCATGATACGAACGTAGGTATCTTCTCCACAACGCGCTTAGTGTCATCGGTCCAGTTGACGTCCCTAAGTTTGGCAACTTCCTCCTGATATATGCTTGGTATTGGATGAATTTCCTCTCGACATTTTTTCTTTATATTATCCATCACTGTTTGAACTTCATTTTGAAATGGATCCAGTTGGTGATTGTGTTATCTTCCAAATTTAACTGGGATGTTGTCCAGAGTGTTCAGGGTGGACGGGCAGTCTTGGACACAGCATCTCCAATATATTCTTTCACCCTAGTTGTTCTTTACACGATACCGGAAACCGTTATGAAGCAAGTTTGACCTCCAAGCTTGTTCATAACAAATTTGACTTGAACTTGAAGATACGCCATGTCTCAAATGCTATGTACAGATATTACGTCGAGTTCAAAACTGAATCACAACAAACTTAACAAAGTTCAATGAATTACACAGTTATTATACACAATATCACAATATCACAAAATTAATATATGCACTAGATTCTGAAAGAAAGTTATATAAATTAAACGCAAAATACAGACAAGCAAATTATACAATCAAATTATTTAAAACACAATTATCAACACAAAATTAATATAAGCACTAGAAATCTGAAAGAAAGTTAAATAAATTAAACACAAAACACAGACAAGCAAATAAAATCTACAATAAAGTTAATCAAATTATTACAAGAGTAAATTACACAAGAGTAAACTTAGTACAATATAAATGAATCTGAAAATCAGTCCCAAGTATGAAATAAGTCTCAATTTGTGGAATGAATATCAGGTTATGAATTGTAATGTCATCTCGAGTCCTTATATAGCAGTATTGGCTTATGTTTATAGTTTTGATCATTTTTTTTACCTGTGGATCTGTATAATTATTTGACCAGTTTTTGGTTACCTGTGCTCACTTTGGTGATGTAGACTATAATGGTTAAAACAACAATCTACCCACCACTGTTGACACAACCCACATGGGCATACCTGTAATACTTTTTTCCAAAAGATGGGCATAACAGTAATACACCACCTGTTCTATATAGGTATGCTGGACAGTAGGTATATTTACCTGTAACTGTGGTTACCTGTTCTATAAAGTATGCTGGACAGTAGGTATATTTACCTGTAACTGTGGTTTCCTGTTCAATATAGGTATGCCGGAAAGTAGGTATATTTACCTGTAACTGTGGTTACCTGTTTTATAAAGTATGCTGGACAGTATGTATATTTACCTGTAACTGTGGTTACCTGTTCTATATAGGTATGCTGGACATTATGTATATTTACCTGTGTTTTACTGTGGTTACCTGTTCTATATAGGTATGCTGGACAGTAGGTATATTTACCTGTGTTTTACTGTGGTTACCTGTTCTATGTAGGTATCCTGGACAGTAGGTATATTCACCTGTGTTGTACTGTGGTTACCTGTTCTATGTAGGTATGCTGGACAGTAGGTATATTTACCTGTGTTTTACTGTGGTTACCTGTTCTATGTAGGTATGCTGGACAGTAGGTATATTTACCTGTGTTTTACTGTGGTTGCCTGTTCTATGTAGGTATGCTGGACAGTAGGTATATTTACCTGTAACTGTGGTTACCTGTTCTATATAGGTATGCTGGACAGTATGTATATTTACCTGTAACTGTGGTTACCTGTTCTATATAGGTATGCTGGACAGTATGTATATTTACCTGTAACTGTGGTTACCTGTTCTATATATGTATGCTGGAGAGTATGTATATTTACCTGTAACTGTGGTTACCTGTTCTATATATGTATGCTGGAGAGTATGTATATTTACCTGTAACTGTGGTTACCTGTTCTATATATGTATGCTGGACAGTATGTATATTTACCTGTAACTGTGGTTACCTGTTCTATAAAGGTATGGTGGTAGGTTTAATTATGAATTATGATGTTTGTTTCTGTTCTATTTCGTCTATTTTTGTACTAGTTCACGACATCATTGTAGATAAAGTATTAATAATATTATGATGTAATGTTCTAAAGGTTAACACAAATGTTTGGAAAACAAAGAAAACAGTCGATTTAAAGTGTACATATCTCTGTATATGGTTACCTCATGTAACATTTTGTAGGCGAAAACGCTGATAAAAAACACTGTTTGTATGGATCTGTCTATACATGTCTTCATAAAACAATACATACCATTGTTATATACAAAGTATTCAAATCGAGCACACACCACTGACATAAATCATAGACGAAACCCACGTGGTCTGGCACGTGAAACCTTACTCTTATCTTTTAGTAACCTGTTTCTTGTCATAAGGATTAATCAAGAATACAAATATATGTATTCAAATGCCATCATCATGAAAAAGGCAAAAAGTACATCGTGTCAACCCTAAAGATGACTGAAGAAATCTACAAAACGATGTTAATCATATGTGTATGTGTAGTCGTTAAAATACTAAGTTGGAAATACCATGAAACCCTATACAAACCCTTATACCATGAAACCCTTATACCATGAAACCCTTATACAAACTCTTATACCATGAAACCCTTATACAAACTCTTATACCATGAAACCCTTATACCTTGAAACCCTTATACCATGAAACCCTTATACAAACCCTTATACCATGAAACCCTTATACCATGAAACCCTTATACAAACCCTTATACCATGAAACCCTTATACAAACCCTTATACCATGAAACCCTTATACAAACCCTTATACCATGAAACCCTTATACAAACTCTTATACCATGAAACCCTTATACCATGAAACCCTTATACCATGAAATACCCTTATACCATGAAACCCCTTATATACATAAAACCCTTATACCATCAAACCCTTATACAAACCCTTATACCATGAACCCCTTATACCATGAACCCCTAATACAAAACACTTATACCATGAAACCCAAATACAAACACTTATACCATGAAACCCTTATACCATGAAACCCTTATACAAACCCTCTTATACCATGAAACCCTTATACCCCCTTGAAACCCTTATACCATTAAACCCTTATACAAACCCTTATACCATGAACCCCTTTATACAAACCCTTATACCATGAACCCCTTATACCATGAAACCCTTATACCATGAAACCCTTATACCATGAAACCCTTATACCATGAAACCCTTATACAAACCCTTATGCAAACCCTTATACAAACCCTTATACCATGAAACCCTTATACAAACCCTTATACCATGAAATCCTTATACAAACCCTTATACAAACCCTTATACCATGAACCCCTTATACAAACCCTTATACCATGAAACCCTTATACAAACCCTTATACCATGAAACCCTTATACAAACCCTTATACCATGAAACCCTTATACCATGAAACCCTTATACCATGATACCCTTATACAAACCCTTATACCATGAACCCCTTATACCATGAACCCCTTATACAAACCCTTATACCATGAAACCCTTATACCATGAAACCCTTATACCATGAACCCTTATACCATGAAACCCTTATACAAACCCTTATACAAACCCTTATACAAACCCTTATGAAACCCTTATACCCCTTAACCCCTTATACATGAACCCTTATACAATACCATGAACCCCTTATACAATACCATGAAACCCTTATACAAACCCTTATACCATGAACCCCTTATACAAACCCTTATACCATGAAACCCTTATACAAACCCTTATACCATGAAACCCTTATACCATGAAACCCTTATACAAACCCTTATACCATGAAACCCTTATACCATGAAACCCTTATACCATGAAACCCTTATACAAACCCTTATACCATGAAACCCTTATACCATGAAACCCTTATACAAACCCTTATACCATGAAACCCTTATACAAACCCTTATACCATGAAACCCTTATACCATTAAACCCTTATACCATGAACCCCTTATACAAACCCTTATACCATGAACCCCTTATACAAACCCTTATACCATGAAACCCTTATACCATGAAACCCTTATACAAACCCTTATACAAACCCTTATACCATGAAACCCTTATACAAACCCTTATACCATCAAACCATTATGCCATGAAACCCTTATACCATGAACCCCTTATACAAACCCTTATACCATTAAACCCTTATACCATGAAATCCTTACACCATGAAATCCTTATACCATGAAACCCTTATACCATCAAACCCTTATACCATCAAACCCTTATATCATCAAACCCTTATACCATTAAACCAACTAGGTTATTTGGAAGATTCAGCAGTAGAGTGAATTGCACCCTACCATCAATAACTATGTTTAGAAAATACTTTATGTATGTTTCCAGTACCAACAACATTGTCGGCAATATCCCGTTATAATTAACACGAAACACCATCTTGGATAATGGAGCTTATCCTGTTAACAGGATCATTAGACGCTCTGCTGTTGCGTTAGTTATCATAGCTACATATGTTATCGGGCACTTCATGTGTAATAAACAGTACCGAACACTGAGACCATAGCACGTGAGACGAACCGATGCGACACTTATCAAGACCACTCTGACGTCACAATACTTCGAAACCTGTAGCAGTTACAATCATGTCATTACATTCGTCGTGTACCGTGTACCTGTGTAGGACTGGTGTACGGCGGCTGGCAAATGTAAATATCGTTTTGTAAATCTATCCCTTTTTCTCTAATTTTAAAACTTAACCGCTGACTTAATCGTCCAATGTCCGATGTTAAAAATATCATAATCCGTTTACGCTTGCTCTCAATCCTCCTACATCCCTTCTCTCATCCCATTGGGTATTAAGGTCAAGGTCGTTCGTCACATACATTCACAAAAACGTGGAGGTGCTAACATTATTTCACACGTACTCTCAAAAATGAATGAATGAATGAATGTTAGTGGGCTTGTTTTGAAAACCAAATTATATCCATTTATACACAATGCCAGTTGAGTTGAGGTGTTACATGGCATGAACTGACATTAATAGTCCAAATTTATTTGTAGATACGTTAATTCAGGTTACAGAAATCTTCAAGAGATTTCAGGAATTTGTTCAGAACTTGGACGTCCAGCATTGTGGTGCCGCCTGTCTTCGGCAGATTCAGATAGTGAAAATCTCTTCACAATGGTCTGTATCTGCTTTGTGTACTTTATCTCAGTATGTGTGCTCTTGTTGATTGTAACAAACAGGTGTTTTATGTGATTTGCATCAGTATACAACTTCACAATTTCACCGCATTGTTATTCGGATGAAAGTATCATCAACAAGAGACCGACAAACGATGATGTCATAGATGACATCATAGATGATGTCATAATGATACCATATCCCCGTTCTTCCTAGATGGTACTAATTTATTTTTATTAAAAGCTACATTTTTGTTCCTACCTTTCAATGTCAGAAACTAATTTATCAATAGATCTATAATAAGGTAATTTATTGTATATACGTTTTTCTCTGTGTTATACGTGTTTAAATTATGGTGTGAAAATTATGCAAGAAAAACGTAATGATATGACTACAGTTAAATAAATAGCCCTGTTGCATCATTGTGGAATGGGGAAAGACAACATTATGGGATGGAAGGCTGAAAATGTGATATGGAGAGAGCACTTCTTTGATATAAAGGGACTTAAAAAAGAAATGACGATGAAGAAACAAAAAGGGGAGATAACTTTCAAATCAATATTTCCATGTCATTAATGAAAACAATACCGGAAAACTTTGAAGATTACCGGAAATTCCCCAATGTTATAATTAAACAGGATAGATTATATTGTACAGCAAACATAGGAAGGAGGACATGGGAGTTTTAAAGCTTCACTTAATCGCGGAACATAGAATCATAGATATTTGTTGAAAAGAATTAGATTTTTTAGAAAAGAAAATGCAAAACTTCCTGACAAAGTATGTGAAGAAAAAAATAATCTAAACATGATTAGGTCAAGAAATATCAACAAAATTAACATAATATCATGTTTCATATTTTGATTATATATCATATTAAGAATAGTAAGGACGACAAATGATAAAATTAGAAAAATGTTTATCATGATATATATATGTTTATCATTGCTACAGTGTTCCCTATAACAATTAGGATTTTGTTAAATAAACACTGTTCATCTGTTTCATATTATTCTACAATATAATGAATATCAAAGGAATAAAGTGAAATACAACATTAATCCAGTAGGTGATTGAATTATCATCTTACTTGCACGAGCTCTAGAGACGATGAAAAATCCTGAATTTCATTTTTATTCATTTAACAAATACTGTATTTCCGTTCGTCTACCTACCCGGATGGTCACGTGAGGACATATGACGTCATTGATGTCTAATTAAGGAGAATATTGCAGCAGGATGCAAAGAGAGGAAATAATCGGAAGGTAAAAATAGTGAATAAAAATTTATTTTTCGTGATAAATAGTGAAAAGATAATGAAATGAATATATAAATATCGTATATATAGAGTGTCTATATAGGGCAAAGTGAGTGGACTGTAACTGTGATGTAATGTGTCAAAGGGAGATAACTACATATCAGGTGCATGGGTCTACTGGACACCAATCCCACGGAACTAAGGGATCCACTGTTTGGCACCATGGTCTTGTGTAGCCTTGAATCACACACCTATTTCCGAAATCACTTCGTCCTTTGTTCTTGTGAGGAACGTGTGGGAAATTGCTATCCCATCGCTGACACATGACCCCTGTTTCTGTGCAAGTCACGCTACCGTTGTAGGTTTTGTTGATAGGGTCATAACACTCTTTCTCTGGAAGTATACATACATTAGATATATGGAACCAAAAAGTAATACATTCCATGCAGTATATATCTGAGTTGTTAGATCGAGTTGTTAAGTTGGTTCTTATGTAACCTAAAATCATAACACAAAGTTCTAGTTGAGATGTTTCAACATTTATTCGAATGAATAAAAAAAAGCATTCGTCCTAAGTAAGGTAGATAAGAACCCATGACTGCAGTGGCGCTACATCGTGTTGTTATACATGTACAAAACACAAATCGTTTGGTTTGATTAGCCCGATCGCGAGGTAAACAATTTTTTTTATGACGATCACGTCCGGCTGCTAGGTCTCAACTGTCAGATCGATGACCAGATCGATAACAATAGATTTTTGAATTGAACTGACCGCTAGATTCGATTGGTCAACGCAGTTCGGATCATTCCGTAAATAACTTTGAGCTCACTTATCAAACAAGAATCACATCTACTAGACGTCAATCCGATATAATATAAGTACTACAAATAGACGAATTGATAGAAAAAACATTAAATAGTTTGAACATATTTTTATAGTTTCGGATCACGTGATTGTCATGTGACATCTACATATAACAAGATAATACAAAATATTACAATTCACCTTGTTACACTTACAGCGTACCTCTAACGGAAAAAAAAATACTCACTTGCACAAGACACGTTTGCGGACGACCAGGTACCATCAGGAAGACATCGTGTTACAGGACAGCTTATGACTGGCTCTGAGTCTAACGATTTAGCACACCTATACCGAGCTGCTATAGCTATAAAATTATAAGGGTGCTCGACGTTAACACTGATTCCAGGAAGGGACAATGGTGGAGGCCGATTACAGGAGGAGATCTCATCTACAGGACAATAGTCCCATCTAGTCTTAGGATCCATCGTGTAGCACCAAGGTCTCTTCGAAAGCTTTATCTGGCACCAGTTCTGAAGGTCGCTCCGACCTATGAAGTAACTAGGAATATGCGGTTTGTTGCTATCCCATCTTTGACACGTGACTCCTTTCACAGTACAAGTCATCCTCCCCTCATAGACAAGACTGGTCATATTATATCTGTCCTTCTCTTTAAAAGATGAAAAAAAGAACGATTTACCTTTATAGGAAAAAATAAAAATATGTTTTAATTAGCCCATGGCCATCGTTTGGTGAATAAATAGTGTGGGTGCATTGGGAAATATTTTATATACAGGTGTTGATAATATCGACGTTTAAACGTTGTAAGAGAAAAATATTTAAATCAAATATCAAAACATTAATCATTTGTATGATCATATATTAAGTTAGTGTTAACATAAGTCTCATTCAGTCGGACTAGACCGGGTTATATAAGTTAGTGTTAACACAAGTCTCATTCAGTCGGACTAGACCGGGTTATATAAGTTAGTGTTAACACAAGTCTCACTCAGTCGGACTAAACCGGGTTATATAAGTTAGTGTTAACAAAGGTCTCACTCAGTCGGACTAAACCGGGTTATATAAGTTAGTGTTAACACAAGTCTCATTCAGTCGGACTAAACCGGGTTATATAAGTTAGTGTTAACAAAGGTCTCACTCAGTCGGACTAAACCGGGTTATATAAGTTAGTGTTAACACAAGTCTCATTCAGTCGGACTAGACCGGGTTATATAAGTTAGTGTTAACATAGGTCTCACTCAGTCGGACTAAACCGGGTTATATAAGTTAGTGTTAACATAGGTCTCACTCAGTCGGACTAAACCGGGTTATATAAGTTAGTGTTAACACAAGGTCTCACTCAGTCGGACTAAACCGGGTTATATAAGTTAGTGTTAACACAAGTCTCATTCAGTCGGACTAAACCGGGTTATATAAGTTAGTGTTAACACAAGTCTCAATCAGTCGGACTAGACCGGGTTATATAAGTTAGTGTTAACACAAGTCTCATTCAGTCGGACTAGACCGGGTTATATAAGTTAGTGTTAACACAACCGGGTTATATAAGTTAGTGTTAACACTCACTCAGTCGGACTAAACCGGGTTATATAAGTTAGTGTTAACACAAGTCTCATTCAGTCGGACTAAACCGGGTTATATAAGTTAGTGTTAACACAAGGTCTCATATAAGTTAGTGTTAACACAAGTCAGTCGGACTAAACCGGGTTATATAAGTTAGTGTTAACACAAGTCTCATTCAGTCGGACTAAACCGGGTTATATAAGTTAGTGTTAACACAAGTATCATTCAGTCGGACTAAACCGGGTTATATAAGTTAGTGTTAACATAGGTCTCACTCAGTCGGACTAAACCGGGTTATATAAGTTAGTGTTAACATAGGTCTCACTCAGTCGGACTAAACCGGGTTATATAAGTTAGTGTTAACAAAGGTCTCACTCAGTCGGACTAAACCGGGTTATATAAGTTAGTGTTAACCGGGTTATATAAGTTAGTGTTAACACAAGTCTCATTCAGTCGGACTAAACCGGGTTATATAAGTTAGTGTTAACACAAGTCTCATTCAGTCGGACTAAACCGGGTTATATAAGTTAGTGTTAACACAAGTCTCATTCAGTCGGACTAAACCGGGTTATATAAGTTAGTGTTAACAAAGGTCTCATTCAGTCGGACTAAACCGGGTTATATAAGTTAGTGTTAACAAAAGTCTCACTCAGTCGGACTAAACCGGGTTATATAAGTTAGTGTTAACACAAGTCTCATTCAGTCGGACTAATCCGGGTTATATAAGTTAGTGTTAACTAATATAAGTTAGTGTTAACCTCATTCAGGGTAAACCGGGTTATATAAGTTAGTGTTAACACAAGTCTCATTCAGTCGGACTAAACCGGGTTATATAAGTTAGTGTTAACACAAGTCTCATTCAGTCGGACTAGACCGGGTTATATAAGTTAGTGTTAACAAAGGTCTCACTCAGTCGGACTACACCGGGTTATATAAGTTAGTGTTAACACAAGTCTCATTCAGTCGGACTAGACCGGGTTATATAAGTTAGTGTTACCGGGTTATATAAGTTAGTGTTAACACAAGTCTCATTCAGTAGTTATATAAGTTAATAACATAGGTCTCACTCAGTCGGACTAAACCGGGTTATATAAGTTAGTGTTAACATAGGTCTCACTCAGTCGGACTAAACCGGGTTATATAAGTTAGTGTTAACACAAGTCTCATTCAGTCGGACTAAACCGGGTTATATAAGTTAGTGTTAACACAAGTCTCAATCAGTCGGACTAGACCGGGTTATATAAGTTAGTGTTAACACAAGTCTCAATCAGTCGGAATAAACCGGGTTATATAAGTTAGTGTTAACACAAGGTCTCACTCAGTCGGATATAAGTTAGTGTTAACTAGGTCCGGGTTATATAAGTTAGTGTTAACACAGGTCTCATTCAGTCGGACTAAACCGGGTTATATAAGTTAGTGTTAACAAAGGTCTCACTCAGTCGGACTAAACCGGGTTATATAAGTTAGTGTAACACAAGTCTCAAACCGGGTTATATAAGTTAGTGTTAACAGTCGGACTAAACCGGGTTATATAAGTTAGTGTTAAACCGGGTTATATAAGTTAGTGTTAACATAAGGTCTCACTCAGTATATAAGTTAGGACTAAACCGGGTTATATAAGTTAGTGTTAACACAGTCTCATTCAGTCGGACTAGACCGGGTTATATAAGTTAGTGTTAACATAGGTCTCACTCAGTCGGACTAAACCGGGTTATATAAGTTAGTGTTAACATAGGTCTCATTCAGTCGGACTAAACCGGGTTATATAAGTTAGTGTTAACATAGGTCTCACTTAGTCGGACTAAACCGGGTTATATAAGTTAGTGTTAACACAAGTCTCATTCAGTCGGACTAAACCGGGTTATATAAGTTAGTGTTAACATAGGTCTCATTCAGTCGGACTAAACCGGGTTATATAAGTTAGTGTTAACATAGGTCTCACTCAGTCGGACTAAACCGGGTTATATAAGTTAGTGTTAACATAGGTCTCATTCAGTCGGACTAGACCGGGTTATATAAGTTAGTGTTAACAAAGGTCTCACTCAGTCGGACTAAACCGGGTTATATAAGTTAGTGTTAACACAAGTCTCATTCAGTCGGACTAAACCGGGTTATATAAGTTAGTGTTAACAAAGGTCTCACTCAGTCGGACTAGACCGGGTTATATAAGTTAGTGTTAACACAAGTCTCATTCAGTCGGACTAGACCGGGTTATATAAGTTAGTGTTAACAAAGGTCTCACTCAGTCGGACTAAACCGGGTTATATAAGTTAGTGTTAACACAAGGACAGTACTAACCGGGTTATATAAGTTAGTGTTAACATAGGTTATATAAGTTAGTGTTAACACAAGTCTCATTCAGTCGGACTAAACCGGGTTATATAAGTTAGTGTTAACAAAGGTCTCACTCAGTCGGACTAAACCGGGTTATATAAGTTAGTGTTAACACAAGTCTCATTCAGTCGGACTAGACCGGGTTATATAAGTTAGTGTTAACAAAGGTCTCACTCAGTCGGACTAGACCGGGTTATATAAGTTAGTGTTAACATAGGTCTCACTCAGTCGGACTAGACCGGGTTATATAACTTAGTGTTAACACAAGTCTCATTCAGTCGGACTATACAGGTGTATACAAAGTTAGTGTTGACAAAGATCTCACTTCATCTAGGCAGAGGTCACACACATATATACGTGTGTAACACCAGACATTTACATCTATAGATAAAATTATATCATAAATAATTACTGATATCAATGCAAATAAATAATTGAAATTAGTAAAATACCACAAACGCAATATTTGTTAACTTTAAAAATTGGGAGAGATTTATACTGCTCAAGAATTTTAAAAAATACACACATAAATAAAATGTTTGTATTTTCCTCCAGTAAAATTAACTCGCAAGTCATATGTTTTGGTTGATTACCCAAATAGAATAATTAAATATTAGAATATTACAATAGTTTAGCATATCCACTTGTTGAAAATAGCCAATTTAGAGGGTCCAAAATCGGGACTCTCCCTCCTAAATAGTGAAGGCTGGCAAATCTTCAAACGATACAAATTCTTTCACGATACAGTCTTGACTGATACGCATTAATGATGGCCCTGTGTGTGACATTGGGTTCAAATCTCACAAGTCACTAGAGCGTTGACAAGGATTACATTGTTATATTGACCGTTATCTTGATATAATACTAAAGACTAACCGAGAATTAGTTGTTTCAGGAAGTCGAGAAAGAAACAGAATTGTAGATTATTTTTCTCGTACATATCGTGTACTGGTATCAAAACACATATCTATTTTCATTTCTAGATTCAGTATTTGGTTTAGCTAAGTAACCTCCTTTTTCTCATATACGTCAGATAAATAATCGGTTTTGACAGTGATTTAATTATAACTTTACTTCTCGCCAACGATTTCGTAAAGTTCACAAAAAGATCTCATGAGACAGAAAAAATGAAGCTCTAGGAAGCCCATGAAATGTCCCTGTCCCTGTAGACGGTACGAGAAAATATGGTCTTCAAGAAGACTGTGGTGTTAGATCAAACATATCAAGGAATAAAAACGCTAGAGTACTGACAAGAGTAAAATCAGTAATGGTGACCTTGACCCTAAAATCCTTCAACTCGAATATGGTTGCAATAATGAAGTACAAACAGGAATTGAATATTTTAGTACAGCTTGATCATGGTACGGCTTTGAATTCAAAAGAAATGCTTGATTATGAATAACGTTACCCTGAAATAAATTTAAGACTATTGATTTGGAACATTGTGTTGTTCGTTTATAAATACCAATAATAGTTATAAAACACACACACCGATCTTCCCAAAACAAAACCCTAAATATTCCGTTAACACCGAACTCCTAATTCCCTTTAAACCCAAATGTCCTGTAAACGAACATCTATCTGACACTCTGACAAACTTAACGAATTCAGAGTGTGCCCACGGATATCGCTCTCCACCGCTTGTACAAGACCCAAACCTCAAAATCAGCTGTTACCGTTAAAATAAACTCACAAACAAGTATACCACAGGAAGGTTTTCCTTCGCTGTAATGTTCACCATGATCAATGTTTATCTCAAGTAGTGCTGGCACAAGCCTTGTTTACTACAGTCAAGACTTACCACTCGCCTTGGATACCACAGTCAAGATTTACCACACACCTTGGATACCACAGTCAAGACTTACCACACACCTTGGATACCACAGTCAAGACTTACCACTCGCCTTGGATACCACAGTCAAGATTTACCACAAGCCTTAGATACCACAGTCAAGACTTACCACAAACATTGCTCATCACAGTCAAGACTTACCACAAGCCTTGGATACCACAGTAAATATTTACCACAAACATTGCTCATCACAGTCAAGACTTACCACACAAAGTGGATACCACAGTCAAGACTTACCACACAAAGTGGATACCACAGTCAAGATTAACCACACGCCTTGGATACCACAGTCAAGACTTACCACACGCCTTGTTTATAAAAGTTCATATTTACCACAAGCGTTGGATACCACAGTCAAGATTTACCACACGTCTTGGATACCACAGTCAAGATTTACCACAAGTCATGGATACCACAGTCAAGATTTACCACACGTCTTGGATACCACAGTCAAGATTTACCACAAGTCATGGATACCACAGTCAAGATTTACCACACGCCTTCGAAACCAATGTCAATACTAACCACACGCCTTGGATACCACAGTCAAGATTTACCACACGCCTTCGAAACCAATGTCAATACTAACCACACGCCTTGAATACCACAGTCAAGATTTACCACACGCCTTCGAAACCAATGTCAATACTAACCACACGCATTGGATACCACAGGCAAGATTTACCACAAGCTTTATTTATCACAGGCAAAATTTACAACAAACGTTATTTAACACAGACAAGAATGATCACAAGCAGTGCCCTCAACAGAAGTATTATCCTCCAAACGCACAAGCATTGTTTATCACGAGCAAGATTGACAACTAATGAAAAATTCACGCGTTTAATCATGTATATAACTGATAAACTTGTAAACACTTACCCTCTTTACTGTAAATCTTTAAGGACATTCCACCTGTCCGTTGTTGGGTGACTACATTCTTGAAAATGCTGCACTCTTCTGTCGGAGATTCATACGAAAACCCAGCTCCGTTTTGTTCCATACAGTGATACGCACATCGTACTCGGGATGTAGTATTGAACCTCACGAGAACAGTTTTGCCAACCTTGGTATCGGCATGTTGATAAAATTGTCTGTCATTTACTGCCGATACCAATTTAACGAATGAAAACAAAATGCAAAATTTTACCAACCAATACATTGTTGGTACGCAGAGTAAGCAATCTTACCTTACACTACAGATCATGTTATTGCTGCGCGAGTTTTCCGAACTGAAAAATCAATTACGAGCGTTCTACCCAGAATTCCAGTCAAGCAAAGGGAGACAACTTCCACATCGAAGCCACTATTTTTTCACCTCTTTGAACTATTCATAAATTAAAGCCGATATCAATCGTATCAAAACTCAGACACATTAATCATTAAAACTCACACCAGACAGAAATCTCAGACACATTGATCAGGAAAACACAGAAAACTCACACCAGACAGAAATCTCAGACACATTGATCAGGAAAACACACATCAGACAGAAATCTCAGATAATTTGATCAGGAAAACTCAGACTAGACAGACAACTCAGATACATTGATCAGGAAAACTCACACCAGACAGAAATCTCAGATACATTGATCAGGAAAACACATCAGACAGAAATCTCAGACACATTGATCAGGAAATCTCACACCAGACAAAAATCTCAGATACATTGATCAGGAAAACTCACATCAGACAGAAATCTCAGACACATTGATCAGGAAAACTCACATCAGACAGAAATCTCAGATACATTGATCAGGAAAACTCACATCAGACAGAAATCTCAGATACATTGATCAGGAAAACTCACACCAGACAGAAATCTCAGATACATTGATCAGGAAAACTCACATCAGACAGAAATCTCAGATACATTGATCAGGAAAACTCACACCAGACAGAAATCTCAGATACATTGATCAAGAAAACTCACACCAGACAGAAATCTCAGATACATTGATCAGTAAAACTCAGAAAACTCACACCAGACAGAAATCTCAGATAATTTGACAGGAAAACACATCTCAGACAGAAATCTCAGACAGAAATACATTGATCAGGAAAACTCACAAGAAATCAGACACATTGACAGAAATCTCAGATACATTGATCAGGAAAACACAAATCACATAGACAGAAATATCAGACACATTGATCAGGAAAACTCACATCAGACAGAAATCTCAGATACATTGATCAGGAAAACTCACACCAGACAGAAATCTCAGATACATTGATCAGGAAAACTCACACCAGACAGAAATCTCAGACACATTGATCAGGAAAACTCACATCAGACAGAAATCTCAGATACATTGATCAGGAAAACTCACATCAGACAGAAATCTCAGACACATTGATCAGGAAAACTCACATCAGACAGAAATCTCAGACACATTGATCAGGAAAACTCACATCAGACAGAAATCTCAGATACATTGATCAGGAAAACTCACACCAGACAGAAATCTCAGATATATTGATCAGGAAAACTCACATCAGACAGAAATCTCAGATACATTGATCAGGAAAACTCACACCAGACAGAAATCTCAGATACATTGATCAGGAAAACTCACATCAGACAGATACATTGATCAGGAAAACTCACATCAGACACATCAGACAGAAATCTCAGATACATTGATCAGGAAAACTCACATCAGACAGAAATCTCAGATACATTGATCAGGAAAACTCACATCAGACAGAAATCTCAGATACATTGATCAGGAAAACTCACACCAGACAGAAATGATTGATCACGAAAACTCACACCAGACAGAAATCTCAGACACATTGATCAGGAAAACTCACACCAGACAGAAATCTCAGACACATTGATCAGGAAAACTCAGAAAACTCACACCAGACAGAAATATCAGACACATTGATCAGGAAAACTCACATCAGACAGAAATCTCAGATACATTGATCAGGAAAACTCACATCAGACAGAAATCTCAGATACATTGATCAGTAAAACTCAGAAAACTCACATCAGACAGAAATCTCAGACACATTGATCAGGAAAACTCACATCAGACAGAAATCTCAGATACATTGATAGAAATCTCAGATCTCAGACATTGATCAGGAAAACTCACATCAGACAGAAATCTCAGATACATTGATCAGGAAAACTCACATCAGACAGAAATCTCAGATACTTTGATCAGGAAAACACATCAGACAGAAATCTCAGACACATTGATCAGGAAAACTCACACCAGACAGAAATCTCAGATACATTGATCAGGAAAACTCACATTAGACAGAAATGTCAGATACATTGATCAGGAAAACTCACATCAGACAGAAATGTCAGATACATTGATCAGGAAAACACATCAGACAGAAACCTCAGATACTTTGATCAGGAAAACACATCAGACAGAAATCTCAGACACATTGATCAGGAAAACTCTCACACCAGACAGAAATCTCAGATACATTGATCAGGAAAACTCACATCAGACAGAAATCTCAGACACATTGATCAGGAAAACACACAACAGACAGAAATATCAGACACATTGATCAGGAAAACTCACACCAGACAGAAATCTCAGACACATTAATCAGGAAAACACATCTGACAGAAATCTCAGATACATTGATCAGTAAAACTCAGAAAACTTACATCAGACAGACATCTCAGACACATTGATCAGGAAAACTCACATCAGACAGAAATCTCAGACACATTGATCAGGAAAACTCACATCAGACAGAAATCTCAGATACATTGATCAGGAAAACTCAGACCAAACAGAAATCTCAAATACATCATCATCATCATCATCATTCTTTATTCCTCAAAGCTGAGAGTACAAAAATTGAAAAAATAAAGTTTAATGTGAAATGGACATATTTATATGAAGAACCTGAGCGCTAAGCGCACATTTTGATCAAGAATCACTTCATGGTGACCAGTTTCTGAGCTCAAAATATGTTTCACGGTTCACCAGCATGGAAATAGATTTCCGCTGTTTTATGTAATAGATACGCACAAGCTTTTGAAAATTCCGCAGTTCCTTCTGATGAAAGGCTTGATATTATCAAATATGGCTGTACACCATAATAATCAACTAGTTTAGTGAAGAAGGTATCTCTCAAAATAAATGTGCTGGTACAGTCTGTAACAAAATGCCTTATGATGTCATGAAACGGTTTTGTACACAGCTTACATGTATTGCACTGTTCTACAGGTACACACTTTAACATTTAGCAAATAAATAGATCTGCTCTTTTGTCGATATCCGATGTTTTGAGCATGACATTCGGCTCAATATAGGTAGAGTGGACAGATCGAAATCGAACGAAATCATCATCACTGTTCATTCTCTCGATCAATAAGCGATCTTCGCGTATTTGAATAGCTCCTTTTACTAAAAGTTTACAGTGAGTCTTTGATGGGAATTCTGCACATTGGATATAACCCTGTATCAATTCGAATAATTCATATTTGGTTAATAATGCCAGAATATCAGGGATATACCCCATTTGCTTTGATATCGGTCCATCTGTATATTTGAGAAGTCTACGAATGAAAATTCTTTTTGGAATGCTGTTTGGTGCACAATCAACAATACAACGTTTTCTTTTCTCGATTTCGCACTGAATCCTGTGAAGTCCAACTATACTTTCGCACATATCCGATCGAGTGGATGTCCTTAGATTAAGCATACGTTTTACTGCATAATGCTGAAACGTATCTAGCTTTCGGATATCGCATTTAGTTAAGTTATTCCATAATTCGCATCCGTATAACATCGACGGAAGTATAACTTTCTTGTAAATGCTAACAAGAGTAAGTGGTTTCGTGTAAGCACAGTGCGACATGTTACAGCCTTTCTTACAAGCGTTGTCAACGGCGTTTCGATGCATTAAACTGAAATTTCCATTTTACGGCATACCTTTGTGCGACGTCTAGCAGAGTTTGTAGGGCCGTGGGGCTAGTAGTAACAAGGGCAACGTCATCAGCTAAGCATGGATTACCACATTCAATGGATTGGACTTTTGCGCCAATGTTAGTAGTCTCCATTTCAATGAGCATATCGTTAATATGTAGCAAGTATAGAACCGTGGAGATGATTACACCTTGCCTAACTGACCTCTGGAACCAACGAGATTGGGCACGATTATGAACTACCGCGCTGGATTTGTCCTGATATGCGTTGCGCAATATTCTGTATAAGTTTCCAGTGACTCTAATCGTGTAAAGTTTGTTGCACATACTGTTGTGTTGAACCGTGTCAAAGGCCTTATATGTATCTAAGAATGCCACATAGACTTTGCTATTCTGTTCTATATTTTCACATATACATTCATGAAGACTGAGTGATGTAGTTATACAGCTTAAACCTTTCTGAAAACCTTGTTGTTGATGAGAAGGAAATTCCACGTGGGAGTCATGAAAGCAGCGCGACACGCGTTTACAAATCACTCTTCCCATGAGTTTGTAGAGTACCAGTAGGAAGGATATCGGTCTATAATTGTTCGGATCATTCTTTTTCTTAAAGCCTCCTTTATGAATTGGAATAATGATTCCTCGTTTCCACGTTTTTGGAATACATCCTGTGGTTCGGATGGAGTTCATTAGTTTTTGGATAACTCCGATAAGGGCTTTACCTCCAAAGCGAACGTGTTCGTTTGATATCATATCCGCTCAAGGAACTTTTCCAAGATTCATCTGCCCTATGGCTGATACGATTTCTTCAAAAGTGAACATGCTATCAAGATCTTCTTTTATTACTAATTGCAAATTACAGTCATCAATAATCCTGTTATCTGCATATAACTTTTCGTAAAAATCCGCGAACCTTTCGACTACGCTTTGGGGGTCACGAGCGAGTGTTCCCTCGAAGACTGGTTCCGTGCAGGCATTGGATGTTTTGTTTTTGCGCTTCCTCACAATTCTCCAGAATAATCTAGCATCCACATCCGCTGCCTCGTCTAGCACACTATTAACTTGATCCAGATATCTATCGTGGGTTTCTC